ACCTGATGATTGTAATAAGTGTATGGGTGTCATGTGTGTAGAGTCAAGGGTCCTCAAGCGCAGTAGTGGCCTAAGAGAAGCAAATAATTTTTTGTAGAACATGAATTGGGCGGTACCTAGCGCCACCTAGCCTAGCTACTTGCAATTACTCTGCTTGACCCCGCCATCTGGTGGCTAGCGATTTAACCTTCTTTCACGCTACGCGATAAACAGCGGCTTCGAGTTCGTTCTTCCGAGAGCGGCTTTTGGTTTCGCGGAGTGAGTTTGACCTTCTCCGTGATGTGCGGTTGACGAAGGAATTGTGACTCGAGGAACACTAAAGGTAAGACGCAAAGTGCGCGAAGTAACTGGGTATCGGTTGTCTCCGTTTAACATCGCAGTGCTGTCGACGAGAAGACTGAGTAACTGCTTTGGAAACGCAGGTTTCTGTACCTGTGGGGGGAATCTGGCTTCGGAAATAAACACAGTTTGCGGAAAGCTCGTGTTACGCTTTCATTTGCTGCTGCTCTCGTCCCGTACAAGAGACGTAGCGTCCTCGTTAAGCCTTATTGGGCTCGATTCGCTCGATTCGGGGCCGCCATATTGAGATGCAAGCGACGGAGGAACTTTGCTCCCCTGCTTCAGGGACGAAGGTTTCTCCCTTTCTAAAGGAACATAGGTTACAAGACCGTTCCTCCCGTAAGGGAGGACTATACGTACCCTTTTTTCTAAGAGTGTAGCAGCCTTAGCGCGCGGCACGAAGGAGCAAAGGATCGTCGCTTGGGGTGAAGTGGTCAGCAAGGAAGAGCTTGTCGAGGCCCAGAAAGCAGATGGTTTTTGCCAGCGGGTGTTGGGTAAACTGGCTGAAATTGCGGTCGACACCGGGAAGGCTGGCGGTCGAGTTAATGATCAATTTGATTCATATCTGCTGGGCGAAGACGGCTTATTGCTTCGCTACATCCTAACGATCGATGAAGGGGAGGGTAATGAGTCTCCCTTCAGGGTGGTGATTCCCAGGAAGCTACGGAAGAGGTTTATCGGGTAATTCCACGACTCGGCTCTGGCAGGTCATGGCAGTGGCAGCAAGACTTTTCATAAGTTATGCCGCGCCGCGACCTGGCCGGCGATGAGGCAAGACGCACTCCGATACGCCCGCAGCTGTCCAGCCTGCCAGAAAGCGAAGCCCAGAGGGGGCAAGCCTCCGGGCTTGATGCAGTCGGTGGAGAGTCACTACCCGTGGGAGATCGTCGCTTGCGACATCATCGGCCCACTGCCGAGAAGTCCGCGGGGAAACCAGTACCTCTTGGTTATTACCGATCATTTCTCAAAGTGGGCAGAGATGTACCCACTGAGGAAGCTAGTTTCAGAGCGGATCTGGGAAAAGTTACTGGATACTTTCCTACGCTTCGGCACACCCAGGTGTCTCATTAGTGATAACGCTAGTTACTTTACTAGTAAAGTGTTCGTTTACTCCTGCTTGGCGCTGAACATAAAGCACAAGAGGACAACACCGTACCATCCCCAAGCCAATATCACTGAACGAGTGAATCGGAATGTCAAAAGCATGCTGATCGCGCTAACGGAGAGACACCGAGACTGGGATGAGCACATCGCTGAGATGGGTTTTGCCATCCGGAATACTGTGAACAGATCGACTGGTTTCACGCCAGCGTTTCTGAACCTGGGTAAAGAGATCCCGTCTCCGCTGGAGAACGAGTTACGGAGCAACCAAGGAACACCAGGACGCCCGCTCTCTAGGTATGCAGAACAGCTAACGAACCGCTTGTCTGGGGCGCTGCACGATGCTAGAGAGAATCTTGATGCCGCAAGGATCGAGCAAGCGGCGCAGTACGACAGGAGCCATAGGCACTTGGAATTCAAGGTTGGTGACTTGGTCCTGAGAAGAACCCACCCTCTGAGTAACGCAGCTAGCGGTTTCGCCGCATCGCTTGCTCACAGATGGGAAGGGCCCTATGAGGTAAAGACGCGAATGTCACGGCTTACTTATAAACTCACTCGGTGTGATACAAATGAGGAGTCGGGTCCAGTTCACATCGCGGACTTGAAGGGGTATTACCGTCGCGATGGGGAACATATTGAATGAAAACTACCGCCGCCGCCACATTCGGCCACAGAAAGTGATGATTTTCCGGTGTCTGACAGTGCTCTTTCTACACAGGATGCCTCCTTGGAGAAACCGCCCCAGAGGGCCATACCCAGGAGGCCCACCGGACGGGCCAGGCCCCGGGCGGCTGGACCCCAGTGGTCCGGTCGACCAAACCCTCGGGGCGGCCGCCCAGGGAGGCGTCAACACCGGGGATGGCCGAACGGCGGAGCGGGCCAGCGCCGCCCGGGCTCCGCAGGTACCGCGAGCCCGGCAGCCGGCAGGCCTACGCGGCACGGGGCAGGGCCGTCCGCAGCAACATCGCGGCACCAGGCATTGCCGTCCGCGACGGAGCCCCCCACCACGGAGCGGGTCCGTCTACGACCGGGGGACCTGCCTGGAGTCAGCCCCCCTGCCACACCGTGGCCACGTGGACGGCGTGGGAAAAGGAGGGGCGGTCCACTTCGTTTCCCGCCGGCGTTGGAAGCATCAACCCAGACCAACGCCTGGCCAGCCCGACCACCAAGTCCCACTCCCGTTCCGTGGCCACACGCAACCGGCGGCGCCACGGGTCTTGGGAGCGCCTGACTCCTGCTGGCTGTGCGGGGTCCCGATAATACATCTGGACACCCACGAAGCAGGTCGACTCCATTCTGACCTGCTGGAGGCACAGCCCCTCCCGGACAACGTGGCGGCAGCGGTCCAGACTCTGAGGGCAAGCCGCCCGGACCTCCTGGCTCCCGCTGCCTTGGCCTCCGTCCAGCCAGCCCGGCCTCCCGAAAACCGTGCCGCCGCACCGGCTGCCGCAGCCGCTGTTATCGAACCCGCCACCACGACGGCCCCCACAACATCGGCCGCCACCACATTTTGCGGCCCAAGCCATCGGGCCAGTGTCGTCCACCAGCCCCCTCCGTCCCCCTCGACTTCCGACGACGCCATCATGGCCGAGGTGAAACAACTCCTCGGCCAAAACGAGTGAGCACCCGGGGCCCCCCGAAGACCGGGCCTTGAGGGGGGGGGGGGGGGGGAAGTGTGGGAAGCCGAGGAGGTGCACGGGAGATTCCGCCAGGCACTGGGGCAAGACACACGGACGAGGACTGCAACGGCAAGGCTACAGCAACCAGCCGAAACAGTAAAACGTTTTGAATTCATTCTTGCTCGTGTGACTTCTTGGGAGGGCGGACCAGGCAGGGACCGATTGGGCAGCAGTATAGTAGAGCGACCCACAATGCTGAACGACACAGTAAGATGGATCACCCTCAGTGGTGCAACACTATCAACAGTACTACCGATAGTATCGATAGTCACCAGAAATCTGACTATCGATAGTAAAACAATTATCGATAGTACTATCGATAGTCGACTATCAAGAAATATCAATAGTACTATTGATAGTCGACTATCGAAAAACTATCGATAGTACTATCGATAGTCGACTATTGAAAAATTATCGATAGTCGACTATCGTAAACCTATCGATAATACTGTCGACGGTTTACTGTCGATAGTTTTGCGACACTAGCAGTTTGCTTCGTTCTCTCTTTTTTTTTTCTCGCTTTATATTTTTCTTTTTGTCGAATGGGACACCAACTAGCCCAAGTACTTACCACCCCAACTTTGGTTCAGCTTTCAGCAGTCCTGAATAGTAACGCGTTACTAGTAACGCGTTACTGTAACTCCGTTACTTTTTCGGTAACTTGTAACTGTAACGAGTTACTTTTTGAAAGTGTAACTTGTAGCTGTGGTTCTATTACTTTTTCTGAGGTAACGATAAAAGTAACGACGTTACTTTTGTCGTCACTTTCCAGTTTTTTTATGAATAATATATCAGTGAACGGGTACAGCCTAGCTCTTTCTTTGCACTTTTCAAGTTGTCTGTTCCGACGTTTCGAGTGTGAAGTTGGCCTTGCTCAAACTTGTAAATACGTTCTTTCTCGCGAGTCACGACCCGAATATAGCCACGTGTAGGTGTGATGTAAAAAAAGAATAGTTATCTTTACGCACGCGCTTGTACTTTGTGACTGAACACTTTCATGTTAGTATCTTGAAGCACTATCAATATTGCCGCTGTTATTTTTTTTTCCTGGGCAAACTCTCTTTCATCGGGTGAATCAACCGTGAAAGAGAAATACACGCAGAGGGCATGGCAAATGTTTCGTATTTTGATTAGCACCAGTAATCTGCACTGATTTGCGCCCTGCTCCGGGGTGGCGTCAACAGTAGAGAGAAAATTTCCTGCTGTTTGCGGGTGGTTTGCCCGTTGCTCTGGTTGCGCGGGGTCTGTTCAACAAGGGCAGGGACCTGTTCGCCGTCAAACGGGGAAAACATTTAGACACTAATTTCGAGCAGCAACTGCTGCTAAGTTACAATATGAAGTAAAAAACGTGGTTTGTTGTTTTATGCAATAAAACTTGGTGATGGGCGTTTTCTAGTTTTTCTAAATTTTTTGTGTTATACAAAAGTAATTGAAAAGTAATGTCGTTAATTTTTAAAAGTAGCTGTAACTGTAACGAGTTACTCTTTTGCTGCGGTAACTGTAACGGTAACTTCGCTACTTTTTTCTGAAAGTAACTCTAACTGTAACGAATTACTTCTTAAAAGTAACTTACCCAAGACTGGCTTTCAGTGTTGACGAGGACGGTAGTTTGGGCGACGAGAAGAGAAAAGGAGGCGAGCGGCAATGGCGGCAACTGTGTTCGCTCTAGTAATGCACAACTATCGATAGTACTATCGATACTATAGATAGTTGCCAGAAATCTGACTATCGATAGTAAAAAAAACTGTCGATAGTACTATAAATAGTCGACTATGGAAAACCTATAGAAAAACTGTCGATAGTACTATTGATAGTCGACAATCTATAGTTTTGCGTCTCTAATCGCCCTACCAACTACAACAGCGAAGGGCAGAGGCTCACCTGGTTGAACTTGCTCTTCATGTCCAAAGTACGTCGAACGGTGAACCAGCGATCTACCGAAACACGGTCCATGTGGTAGATGAACGAAGTAGTCTTTGCACTCCCTGGAATCCCGTCGCCCCTGTCCGTCAGCAAGGACACTCGGATGTAAGCTCCCAGGGCTCCGAAAAAGTGGTATCGTAGGGTGGCGCAAACGGGGTGGGTTTGACGAGGAACCATCGGGGATGTCAGGTACAGAGAACCGCGGTTCTTGAAGATCATCCCACGATTGGTGAAGATGAATGTGCCTGTAGCAAGGACACAAACTTATCAATTACTGCTTGGCTTACTTTTAAGTCAAGTCTGCTTAAAAGATTCGAAGGCAAACAAAGCAAAAACCAAAATGTCGCCTGACAATATACTATACGTACCAATGCCGAGTTTCGGGGAAGCCATTATCAAACACAAAAAAAAAGGATATAAAGTGACGTTCTTATTGAATAACTTATGGTTTGTTTATCATTTATTTAAGTTATTGATTTATTTATATCTGAATTTTTTTGTTGACATATACCGCATTACATAATATATAAATTGCACGCGAAAACATACCCCGCCGAAAAAAACAGTATAACGTTTCGCTATCTGGATTATGAAAGAGTTAATATAACTAGATTTCTTGCTCTAAACCTGAAATCCAGTTTGCTGACTGGTTTGTTCGGTAGGGTAGGTTAGGAGATTTAGGTACTTAGCATTTTTAGACGTACGTCAAGACGACAATAGCATGACGGTCACAACCAATGCGTGCTGCTACGTCGAGTAAAGTTCGCTGATTTTGTGTAAGGCGAAAAGGAGGGCACGTTTATTTAACAAGTTTTTCCAAACTCCGACTGCGTGTACTTACAGGGATTGTGAACCGAAATTTGGATTTCAGAAAAAAACAATGCAGGAGATGTAGGCGGGGCGCTACAATCGCTACAACGCTACTGGTAAGGCGATATCTCGAATGGACGGCCGTATTTTGGGAAAAAGAGGTCGAGATTGAACGAGGCCGACGAGGCGCGTGACGTGAAGATATCTTGTTTCCTCCTCTCTTCGCTTCGCCCCCTCAAGGCGGCAAGACGGAGAAGACGCGAGGCCGTTCGCTCTCCTTCTCAGAGAAACAAGACGTGGACATTTCTGTCAAATGCGCCTCCTTTTCTTGAAAAATACGTTCATCCGTTCGAGATAGCGCTGTATGAGTGATGTTTTGGTGTTTGTAGCATCCCGGTTGCACGCTTTTGCCGTGTGTTTTGTGGAATCCAGATTTCGGTTCAGCATCCCTTTAATGCACCCAGAGTTTTTAAACAAGAACATAATTATAATTTATTTTATTCCAACACGCCTGCATGTTTCAACACCACAGAAAACATGGCTGGGCATCGAATGCAAAATAGTTTAGTGCACAAATAAAAAAAAAAAAAAAAAACATGTCCTTTACACAAAACATGCGCTTCGTGGTGCCTCGGGCAGCCACAGACATCGTGTATAACCACATAAATTTTAGTTTGCCCCTTTCGATAATATTTAAAGAAAGATATCAAAATAGTTGCGAATTTTGGACTAGCACCACAAGAGCGGAACTATTGAAAGAGATTTCTTATATGACTTCTTTTGTGGAAAAGGGATTCTCGAGTAGTCCACTTGGTCAAGGTTTCTCGATCACCCATAAATTGTGAAAGGGTGCATTCTACTTCTCCTTAATCAGGATTATTACCTAAAAACTAAAGGGGGTCCCCAAATAAACATTTGAAGCGAACTTTATCTTGAAAGTCTAAAATGCATGAAATGCAGGATTTAAAGAACGATCATTTCGTTTAAAATGTGTCTAGAAGACAATAAACACTTGTTTCGGGGAGTGAAGAACCTGTATTTCTATCGATTTCCATGTGACATTTTGTAGGAAACTAACTTGATCTATAGGTCATGTAACTTCAATTTTCCCGTTAAATTTTGCAGGCCAGAGAAGTTGGTGTATGGGGTCACGCGACGTGAGGTCGAGTGACCTCACTTTTCCCTAAAATTTAGCGGGGGAATTAAACAGGTGTATAGGGAACGTGACGTCCGCTAACGAGTCGTAAATTTAGCCACAAAAGTCAGCGGGAAATGCACAGGAGGATGGACGGACAACATTTCGTGATTGTGGAGATCCAATTAAATGCATTTTATGCTTAAAACAAACAAACAAAAAAAAAAGCATACCAGGAGTTTCAGCGGGAAGTGGTGTCGGTCCGATGTTCGTTTGTGGCAACGACCTGCTCCCGAAACGCCACACGACGCTGCTGTCCCTGGGTTCGAACGACCACTTGCACAGACTCTGGTCTTGAAAGTCACAATCCAAGAGGTGGTCCACTGGAAGAGACAACGCTGGATATTAGGGTTACCGAATGAGGAGCGCTTAGATCATAGACACATCAGTTGCCCGATTTGGGTGTGGGCGCCGCTATTTTTGTGTTTAGTGCACCGTGGGTGCAATGGACCCCTTTCAAAATTAGTAGCGCCACCTATAGTCGCTGCTGCGCCAATGATTCGACTGCACCATTTTTGGGGCACGTAATGTGAACACGTATTAGATCAGAGCGTTGCGTCTGCATTCAGCGTGAACTCCTATTTAATCACATTCTTCCTGTCTAAGCGAAGACGGGGAATTAAGCAACTCCAGTCGCGTTAAACTACAGAACACTGACCTGCTGTAGTTTCTGGGTCAGTTTTGGGAAACGTCTCGCACGAATCGTTGGTGAAGACCCTCAAGTCGTCCAGTGCAATATAACCGGGTGGATTCCCCGATCCGGTCACAGCCTCGAATATGACCTTCAGAAGAGAAAACATTAAAAAATTCATATATAAGTATGAACATCGGTTATTTCTTGAAGACCGCGGCAAAAAACGACGCATACCATTCATAAATCCTGGATCAGTCCGATGATATTTGTATTTGTAAACAAAAAAACTAGCAGCAAAAACGCTAGGTCTGTAAATATTCACTCTTCAGTGTTCGATGGGCACTTCCAACCACCGCATTTCGGTTAGCGTGGTCAGCGCGTTTATGAGTTAATTTTTTTTTTTTTTTTTACCAGAAATTGTCCCAGATTGAGCCATTATACGTCATTACCTATAACGCAGCTGCAGTGCCAAATTTCAATGTCGCCTAAACGAGATAAACTCGGTTCCGCGGACTGGACACCAGTGCTACGTCACTGCTCGGCAAGGTCTCGTGTTCTCACTGACTGAGCACGACTTCCAGCCGAACGCTGACGTGGAACTCGTGCCAGTTCGTTCCCCGCGTTGCCTTCTTTAAGTGACGCCTAAAATTGAGCACTACGACTTTGTTATCTCGGTGGCGTTAAACTTGCCCCTTTTTCAAGCTTTCTCAGGCAACACGCCCTGACTTGCTTAATGAATTCGTTTCATGAGCAGCTTTCTGGTTTTCTTTATGCTTTTGCAGCGTCATCCTTGTTTAAATCTTAGACATCCGCAGAAAACTTACCCTAGACTTGTCCGAGAGTGCGACTCGTCCCAACAGCCATGTATCGAATTCCCCGGCTTCAGCTTCCCATAGCAGCTGATGATGCTTGGCGTCTTTTACATCGTTCGCCACGGACGTGACTTTTACCTAAGGTTGTGAAACCAACATTGCGCTGTATTGGTATTTGAATACCAAGCCTTTTTTAAAAGCGAGACAACTTGCCGATTTGAGCAGAGCTAGTCACAATGGACTAATGGCACTTTTGTCGTTATGGAAGCATAGGTAAGAAAAATGGAGTTACAAAACTCTAACGGCATGAGAAAAATACCTAAAATATCGATATTCTTGTTTCGGTGCGCAAAAGGCAGCACAAGCGTGCAAGCCATTTGTGCTATCTTGTCATGCTTGTCTCCGTTTTTTCATCTGAGTGCAAAGATCATTGCGGCAATGTTTGAAGGGATGCCGCATGCTGCCTTCCTGCGAATTGCATGGATATCGGAAGGACGAACGTTTCACATTTTATGCAGCCGCACAAAAAAGTGAGTCGCCTTGGAAGAATATATTTCTGAATGTTCCTGCCTTGACTTGGTTCTTTTCACCCTTTCGTCCATTTTATCACATATCTGTTCCGGCTTTAAAAAAAAAAAGAAACTGTATCAGCTACTCCATGGTAACTGATACCCAGAATGTTCTAAATCTTTAGTCATTTTACGTTCCATAACACAACTTTAGGCAAAAGTGGCGTCTTAGAGATAGAGCTTTTTTTTTTCGAAAGCGATAACTTACTCTGAGCTTTGTATCTCTGTCTCCCGCGACAATGTAGCGGAACTCCAAGCAGTTGGTCGCCCGTCCTTTTGAAAGAATCGCTTCACTCACGAGCTGTGCCGTGGCGCCTTTTATCTCCCCGAAAGAACTGTAAAAAAGGTAGGAACCTGGAAACAAAAATACGGGTAAACTGAAACTTTTTTTTTTTTCAGGTTGAGCGGTATGGTAGCTAGCAGGAATATTAAGATTTCAATTTATGATATTTACCCTTTGTTGCATTCAAATGAGACCTGCTAGCACCTTTGATTAGTGGTATTCACCTTAATTCACGCATTTTGTCTTGTAAAAAAAAAAGCAAAAAAAATAAATAAAAGGCCTCCCTTAAAAAAAAAAATCCTTGTTCGTTATTTTCAAATAACATATACGTTTTGTGTCACACCGGTTTCTTGTAAGACCGGTCATAAAACTTGGCATCGCTCAAACGAGATTCCTCTACATATTTTGACATAAAAAAAAAATATTTTTCATGCGCCAACAGGCTCTTCGCAAATAAGCCCGCGTTCGCCCACACCATGTGTGGGCATCGCGCGTGCGCGGAAACCGGATTCGCATGAGGTAAGGAATTTGCGCATGCGCAGTACCGACAGCAGCGCCACCTGAGAGGCGTAACGTCAGAGGGCTGCGTTGGTGTATCCCAAAAGATTTTCCTACTCCTCCCACTTAGTAGGAAGAAATAAACTCTGCCCTTCAGAATAAAATGAGCTAATATATATGTTCTATAGACGGATTGATGTCGCTCCCAAATATTGCAAGCCTGCGGACCACATTTCTTTTGTGGTCAGCGCGTACCTATCTCTCATTTCGAAGCCTCCGCCTGATAGGGTCGAGTATATCAGTATAGGGCACGCATTGCTACATCAGTGTGCATTTTTAAAGCAAATGAATATAGCCACGGTCGCAAATTAAAAGTAAAAGCCAATGTGGCACTCGTGTTAAAAAAAAAGCTGAGGAGTTTCCTTTATAAAAAAAAACAAAAAACTATGCAATTTTTTTTTTATGTAGGCCCGTTTAATATGGTGCGTCTTAAGTTTTCTTTGATCTTAGTTGGAGCGTCGTAATAGTCAATTAAACTTTCGACGTAGCCCCGGCCGTGGCGCCGCGGTAAGCGCGGGATAGCGCGAGAACGGACTAAAAAAACAAAAAAAACTAGCAAAAGTGACGTCATCGGGTGGGTGAAATGACCCTTGCTTGCCAAAGCTGGCTCGGGAATGCCGACGAGGACGTCACGACGCTTTGGACAGGTGAGAGTCAGCAGAGAAGCTCGTCGCATGCCTTGCAGAAATCGCTGCAGGTATTTAGACCAATAAAAAAAAAGACAGTGCGGCATGCGTTTAATTCTGCCCAAGTTAAGTACAATAACTTAATTCACTGGTCAAGAAACTTTTCAAGCCCGCTCATAAATAATTTATTTTTAAAAGTGCTTCAATTTCTTTTCATGTGGCTATCTCATTTTGGGCATCTGGATATATATTTAAAAAAAAACACGGCGATTTTTTTAGATATTCAGACTAAACACATTTTCTCAGTATCAAGAATTTACTCTCTCCGGCATGATATCTCCCGTCTTTAAATTCGAAATAGCTATTGAGAAAACGGCCAATGGGGGATGATTTCAAGAATCACCATTAAAACTTTCCCGTGTTCTTCAGAGCAGTGTCGTCATGCGTTGTGTAAGTGTCAAGTCGAGCAGGCAGCTTAGGAACAGTATATTGCGTATGTTTCTTCACTGCGATAGCAATTAGAGGGACACTTCACGGCTTTCGCGCCGACAACTGCGATCCCTATCAACGCGGGTCATTTTCGGCACTCCGCCAAAAGATTCCACATTTACGTCACGCTGCTGACGGAACGCCGCGCGTCGCGTCACCTGTTACCTGGCGTCAGATGACACCATGACGTGACACTGTCACATCAAGTCACGTTGCACAGTAACGCCACGCGACTTAGTGACGTTAGGTTACACCGATAGTCACGTGATGTCATAACGTCACGTCACATTTTGACGTCACGCGAAATACGTCGTCAGGTGGCACCATGACGGCACCTAAAACATAAACATGAGCCTGCTGATAATGGAAATAGCAGAAACACAGAGTTTTCGCTACTTAGGTCAAAAAGGTCCTCGGGCAATAAATAAAAAAACATAAAAAAGTTGGGTGTATGTTAAATCAGCGAAAAAACGGGCGTGACAGTAGGTGGAGCTACACGCTTGAAACTTGAGAGCGCGATTTTGAAAGTGTTCTTCGGTGACCCTAAGGCGGTGTTAGTTTGTGTCCAATAACATTCAGGCAGCCACACCAACGACATGGAACGGCTCATGCGTACACGTGCAGTTTCGTCGTCCCCTGGATTTCAAGCATGGACGCGCGATTTTTGAAGCGTTCTTCAATTACTACGAGGCAGTCTTAGTTTGTGTTGAATAAAATTGTTTAACGGGTTCACGAAATACTCTCTACTTAATATACCCTTGTTGGTTCCTAAGCCCCAAGGAATTTTCGACTTTTAGGCTACTCGGTTTATTACGAAGCGTCCACGCGGACTTTATGGTGCGCGCTCGCACCTTTACGTTCATTCAGTCCATCTGCTCCGAAATGACCCCTTAGCTGCTCCGACGGCACACTTCAGGCCTCGCTGTGTTTTACCTTACGGGTAGCGTAAGTGTTTACCAATTTTGCTTTCTTTTTTTTTTTTTTGCGTGAGCTTACCCGACATTCACTTCGCACAATTAAATCTCTTGTAACCTGTTAGGAACAAGCTGTAAAACCACCAATAGACCTATATTACATCTGATGTTACTGGCCAGTGTTTCCAGTAGAACCTGTCAGCTTCTCAGACAAAATTCAAAACTTCAATTCCTTCGTGTAAAAAAATATTTTAACTTAAAATTTTGGTTATTATTTCAGATGCGCTATTAATGAGTTAAGCCAATTTTGAGGCAAATCAATTACTATCCATATTTTTTCACACAACTTTCAGGAAATTGTGCAATGACATTCGGTTTCAGCATAATTTGACAAACGGCAAAAACTACAGCCCCTGTGACCAAATAACAAACTCGTAGCGAGTCAGGCACTGTGCCATCAGCGCGCACTCTTTCTGCGGGAAGGTTCCTCGTGCGCACATGTTGTAAATTAGTTTTATGACTATGCTTGTTTCATTTTTTTCCCATGGTTAATGTCATGTTTCTGACAATTGTTTTTTCGTTTTTCTCATTGCTGGATGCGTACACTTAATAGGTTTCGCCTCACGCGGGGTGTGAGCTATGCACCTCAAACGTAACATTTTGCGTGTATTTGCTTGTATATAGCTACAACATATTTATAGTACTTTTATATTTTGGTATAAAAATCCAGTCCCACAAAACATTAACGCAAAAGATAGCAGCATCTGTAAATAAATACACCCTTGGTTTTCTGTCCTTGATAGCTCACAAAGAATCTGAATTCTCAGGATAAACCCTGGCGCGGTTGTGTTCTTCTGTGTTTGCCAGCCGGGTGTTAATTATTTTTTTTTTCAAGTTGGAAGCTACTGATATTTATTTCCGCTTTAGCATTTACCATTTTATAACTAAAGATGTTTGTCTTTCAAGTATTGTCTGCACGATGTTACGCTTAGCAAATATCTCGCCTATCACTTAATCGGTTCGAATAAATTCCCCCGCGGAGAATAGAAAAAAGTGACAAATATAGTAAAATAACGATACTCAGATAATCATACCTCCTATAATTGGAGAACACGAAGCAAAAAAAATAAAATAAAATAAAATCATGACCATTCTCACCGGTACTCGTTCCGAGGGTGTGATCCTTGCTGGGTTTTGGGAGCGTTGTCTTGGTGGCACCACCCCCGCGCGTCCATAGACCATAGCCGTCGTAGCTACCGCCGAGGTTCATCCAGGAACAAAACCCTCCCTCAAAGTCGCAGTCTTGGTTACTAATATCTGAAAAAAAAAGACACTAATAATCGTCATTTTTATTGGCCTGGTTAAATGTACAAACCTTAAAGATAACTTTTTTTAAAAATTGTAGTAGTAGAATTTAAGGTTCTGCAACTCCCTAGCGGTTATTCAGAGAGGTTTTAATATGTAGCTAACTAAGTGCACGTTCGCCTCAAGGGATTGCTCTTTTTAGCACTCAAACAAACAAAAAAGGTTAATTACCCTAGTGCTGTACGCACTTTAACAAAGGAATCAAAAACACTGTAATGAAGTCGCCAAAAAAGCTTAGTAAGATAGAACTGCATCTTTAGCTAAAACAAATTTAAAGACTTTTACGTAACGCGTTCTAAGCAATACGTATGGGTATCCAGTTACTTTGTTTTGATAACAAAGCAACGACTTAGTAAATGTTCGAGGGCACAAACGAGTAACATACATTTGATGCTTTTTGATGGACTGAAAAGGAACGCGTGCAACCCAAGTCGCCCAATTTTGTTTGTACCTATAAGATAGAACGTTCGATCTAACACAAATCATTTTTGTCAAAATTTTTGTCAGAAATTATTTTTTTTTCACGTCTATATTTCTCGTCACATGCATAACAGATGCTAGCAACCGCAGCAACAAGGGTTCTCAGCTGATGCTTTCGATCAGCATATTCCATGATGATTTGCGAATTCGGTATGTCCGTGTCTAAACACTGGAAGGCGGCTACTGCTAGAAAGACGACATATTCAGAGTAACGAGAACGTGACACGTTTCTTTTGAATATCCGTAACAAAAATCGTACTTTGTTACTTTTTGAACGAGTAACGGGTAACGGTATGTAGTCAGTTTCTTCAATAACACGTCTGAAATTTTATATAGCCCAAATGCGGGTTTAGGTGACGCATTTCTGTTTCGAATATAGGAAAGAAAAGAATCGCTTCAACTGAAACTTTTGGTTAAGACCAGAATTTCTGCATTTATTGATATTAACTGTCAGCTTTTTCGTGCGAAAATTGTTGCGGGTTGTTAAGGTATCTAAATTAACTTAAAAAAAATTAGCAGAAATATTTTATGTTTTTCCTAATTTCTGTTGTTAAATCAAAGGTTCCAACCACCCACAATACATATATTTCACTTTGCTGGTTTGTAGAGCCAAAAATACAGTTGAGCATCGCAATCGCGACCTATTTGGCTTAAAACTCCAGTACTGATGGTTCGTGGCAGTAACACTTTCTTGGCACGACACACATTGTGTCATCCGAGGTAGAGTATTGAAAAATACGTGAGTACGGTCTGACTCATTTCCCTCACCACTCCCTTTTACTGCGCAATACAGGATGCATCAATAGGATGTTTTACGTTTCATTTCCTCAGCCTGCTGCATAGCTTGAAAAATACATAATTTATTTTTGTGCATACTTTTCCGTTCGTCAATTCAATCATCGCTTTTTTTTGCGGACATTTCTGGCAGCCGTTCTGCCAAATAAGTTATACATGTATGTGTCACTTATGTACATTGAGAATGGCACGTAGACCTCAAAGTCCACATTTCTTTCTTTTCATGTATATAGTTCGAATACATTTGCATTTAAGTGAAAGTTCAATGGTTGTGAAGTAATTTAGAACAGTTGAAAACTTCTAGAAGCTGATTTTGTTTGATGGCGAAAGGTTAGGTGCATCTACACAACCTTTCTGAAACGAAGATGACAATGAACAGACGAATTGGGGTTTCTTAAAAAGAACGTTTTGTCAAGATATTTTATTGTATTTCTTCTCTCAAGAGAAGATGTTTAAAAATTATCTTATCTTTACAACGGTTATGTTCAGAGCATTAGTATTTCTAAAACAAGAAGCGAATCTAAAGACTAAAAAACACAAAAAAAAAAAAAAACTCACCCAGAGAACGTGCACATTCAGTGAGGCGTACATAATCCAGGCCACAGTAGAATCCACCATGAGATCCGGCTCCAACGTAACATTCAAAATCCAACTTCGCCGAAACAGAAAGAAAAACATAATTGATCATGTAGTCCACTCTCGACGCAGCAAAAAGAAGTTCGAAAAAATAAACTGGCGCAAAAAATAATAAACCGAGCAATAACAGACAAACCAAACCTGTAGCTTTTTTTTTTCGGCACAGCCCTGACACTCGATAGTACATTAATATATTTCCCAAAAAAGCACAGATTGTTCACATGAACCGTTTTATTGTATTAAAATAAAGAGCGCGATTTTTTAAATGGACACTGCACTCCCCTAAACGTTTTTTTACGTGCCTGGATAAGAAAAAAAGTAACAAACTGTACTATCTTCGGTAAAAAAGATTAGCAGAATATTTACGCCGCCAGCGTATCTTGTGTTAGCAGCGATTGCAATGCATTATTTTATTTTCAGGCATCTTCCCTGTAGAACAGTATGTATCAGAAACGCTCAAATGAATTCACGACGGAAATATGCACCAATTCAGATTCAAAATGCGTTTTTATTGCCACAAACACAAGGGGAAGGTGAGGGGAATATGCCGGGAATATGGAGGAATGTGAGGGGAATATGGAATATCTTCGTCTGGGCATGTGGCACTAGGAAAAAATATGAGGGAGGAAAGAATCGACACATATACGTCCAGCTTCGCTTCTAGCACGAAGTTTAGGAGACTAAGCTGGCCGTTTTCTTTGTCTGATGACTTCTTTGGGTGAACCCAGTCATCGAGGTTGAGGGCATATATGGGTTTGAATTTGGTCCGAATTCGTTGATAGTAGGGGCATTCCCATAAGAGATGAGTCATGCCTCCTTTTATGTTGTTCGTGCATTTGATGCACGTGCTGGAGCGTCTTCCTTTGCTCCATGCGGCCATGCGTGCCGGAGAGCGGGTGGCGCCTGCCATGATGCGGGTGAGGAGGACCTTGTCCCTTCTTCCGATCCCTCTCGGTAGAAGGTCGGGCGTCTTGGGCAGGCTTTCCCACAGTCTTGTCCTGTAGCTCTCCTTGATTAGGATCCTCTCCTTGTCAGGATCATATTTTTTGTGATCCCATAACGTCTTCCCATTACCGGGTGCGGCGTATCCGTGGTCGTGTGGTTGTGAGGATGTGGGTGCTCCCCCTCACTCACGGAAAGAAACGAGCGCCGCGCGAGCGAGTTGATGCACCTTTTTATTGCCGGGGATCCCTGCATGGCCCGGGATCCAACTTATCTTGATGGTGGTGCCAAGTTGACGTAGTTCGGCTGCACATTTCTTAATTTCCTTGACCTTCCTGCCTGCACTGGAGGCTTTCTTAAGGCCCGACCACACTGGCGTGAACGGCGCCGCCGGGCGGCGCCGCTGGGTGGCACCGCCGTCCGGCGTCCCAACGCGAGGAGTCCACATTGGCCTCCGTTTTGCAGGCGTCACGTGACCGCACTGGTTCCCGCGATCGCGCCTCCCGTCGGATTTCCCGCTCTTTCGTCGTCTGGTCTTTCTTACATTCTTCCGTTCCGCACTCGCTGCCTACATAGTAGGAGTCCATAATGACCTGGTGATCAGCGTGAATGTGATTATCCTAGCCTGGTCGTTGATCTTGTGACGTCGCCGCGCTCTGAAGGGAAGGAGGCGCAGGTTTTGAAACTAGTTCAGTGTTCAGAACGTTGTCGTTCTCGTCTTGATTTTTGGGATAGATGTTGTAGATTATCCCTTTTGTGTAGTTGCTTCCGTACGTGCGGAAGACTTGTACGTCATTTGCTTCGTGGTCATTAATTTTGATCACCTTGATCCCCAGGATCTGTCTGGCTAAGTCTTCCGAGTCTGTCCGGACCGAAATGGCGTTAGCTTTTTCGATGCGGTGAAAAGTGAGCACGGCTTGATTTCCATGCGGCAATAATGCCACAAACTGAGCTTTGACAACTTGAATGTGGGGTTTGAGAGACATCTTCTTGGCCGGTCGAATCTTCAATTCCACATATCCTTTGGGTGCTGCTTGGTTTTTTGCTGGTGCTTCGTCTCATGTCTACCCGCGGCCTCTTCGACGCTTTCTTGTACGTTACTTAATGCCATGCAAATAAGTGGTTGCTGCTTTTATCGCTCCTCGGCGCTTCGTCCAACTGCCGGTCCCCCGCAGGTGGTCGGAGCTGCTTGGCCGGTTCTTGTTTTCGCCTCTGTCGCTTCCGAAGTAGGTGTAGAACTGTCATCTAAGCGAATGCCGGTGGCTCGATCGACGTTCCTCTCCTTGTCCAGCGTTCTGGAAGCTTCCATCTTCTTCCCGGGAACAACCACCATGGGGCTTTGGTGATTCCCGATGTTCGCCGGAGTGTCCCCGGTCGGGCCCGAGCTTTTGTTCTTGCCCTTTTTTTTTCTTGGGTTTCTTCCCTTGTTTTTTGTCGTCTTCCTCCAACAATTTCTTGAGCAGTGCGATTAAAACGGCCCTTGGGGTGTTACCCAGAGCAGTCGTCAATTCCGCTACGGCGTCCTCAATGTCCGCTCCTTCTTGACCATGCGTATTTATGCTCGACTTACTTGCTTTGGCATGGCCCTTGTTCTGGATTTGGCTTCTCGCCGGCCCAGCGATATCCATCTCGTCGTCGGGGGTCGTGTCTACCTGCTTGCGTGGCAGTCTCTTCTCCATGCTGAAAAACTTCGGAAAATATAACACATCCGTTCGACACGGCGTCTTAAATTCCCGCCGCTCGAGCCAACGCACGTGCTCTTAAGACCGCGCCGCCATTTTCTCAATATGCACCAACTCAACTTTCTGACGTCACGCCACTGCGGTGGCGCTGCTGTCGGCACTGCGCATCCGCAGAAACTTCACTTCTCCCGAATTTGGTTTCAGCGCACGCGCTGCGCGCACACCTCTTGTGGTGAAACGTGGGCTAGTTTGTGAACAGCGTGAAACTTACTTTCAGCGAGTTGTGCCTTTTTCCTGCGGCAGTGCGCTTTCGTAAACCTTTCCACGTGTTCTCAATGGCAAGTCTCAACGCTAACACTTAAAAGGACCATGAGGGCAATTTAATTTTTTTTTCTAAAAGAAGGTGTTTTCAGAAGCATTGGGGTCCTGGCACGCCACACAATTTTTTCTAGAACGTTGTGACTCTTATTTCTGTACCTGGAAATAAATTTGCGAAACCGAAACAAACATTCAGATTTCTTCCCTTTTTCGCCTCTGGAAAGAGAAGTGACGTCAGGGAGCACTGTCGGCATCGGTAGGATTTAGCGCACACTCAATGTGGTTCCCGTGGCTCGCTCTAGTGCACGGCGGTCTGTGAAGAAAATTTGGAAGAAATGGACGACAACGCCGCGCTCGCAAACGAGTTTGGGCTCCCGTTCAGCGACCTCACGCCGACTGAACGGGAGGTGCTGCTAAGGACGCAGAACTATGAATTGGCGCTTTACGAGGGCGCCCTAGACCTACCACCAACTCCTCGGTCGCCGCCTCCAAAGCGACTCCCCGCCCCACTTTTACCCAGACTCCGGCTGACGTGAAGGTGCTGCCCAAAGTCTTCTGGTCGGAAATGCAACGAACAAATCCTGACACCGCTGTCCACAGCTCTACGCAAGACGACGGCGCGCAACCAAATGCTGCGCATGGCTGCATCGGTCGGCAATTTATGCAAACTAACGTCGCCCGATCGACCGCACGTCTTTAGCCGACCTTTCGCGCAACCTACTACTGCACATTAACGCGGCATGATTGGTGAGACACCAGTTCGCAAAGCGAACACGAGACGACGCACGAAACCAAAACCAAAAGTCCGCCGCCCCCGGCGCTCGTACCTTTTTCTCTTTTTGTCCATGGTTGCTCGATGCTTTTTACGCGCCCGAGGTAGCAGTGCGGGATGCGTTCAACCAGTGACAAACGGAGGGATCGCTTCAAATTATGCTTTTATACACGGTATGAAACCTATTAATTCCCAACTACAACTTCAAAAGATTATCCAACGTTCAAATAAAAAATTTTCATCACATCTCACCACCGAAATTGAAACCAAGAGCGCGTCTATCCTTTTAACCAATCGCCAGACGAGGTGCCCGTTGTCGTCACGCTTCGACGGCGCACTTTAGTTCACCTTTCTGCCGCCGCCTCGGTGGGGTCCCAGGCATCGTTCCCGGCGCTATTATTACCGCGCCTGTTTGCTCGATTGGTGCGGCACCCTAACTTCTGTTCGGGCTAGAACTTGATCAACAGTATCTGAGACGTGCCTGCCATCCATTTCAATCGTTGAATAAAACTTGGAAACTGCCTTCATGGTCCCTTTAAGAAACTTGTACGGCGAATGACGACGAACGAGTAGAAAACGTGTCTTCGGCACGCTGCCGCCAGCCTCTGCAACGCTAGCAAAACCGCAATTTGCCTGTGAGCCGTCCGGTGGCTTCTCTCGCGCTGCAGCCACCAAGCGGGGAAGCGCGATCCAGCAATTGTCATGCAGTCTGTCTATGCTGGAAAAATCGGTGGAGAAACTGCATAGTGACGTCGCCGGTGGTAGGAGGCTAATCTCCGTCGCCAACAAACTACATCGGAAGAGAACTGCACTGTGACGTGTCCGGTGACGTCGCCGAACAGTTGCGATTGAGTTGAAACTAGAGTTTTGTTTTTTTTCCTACAGGGAATTTCGGAGAATCTCCGAGTAGGCTAGCGCACACCAGCTCGGAGCACGTGGAGCGAAAGCTCGCGCTGCAGAACCCTCGAATCTTCGGTTCAATCCCCGCCCCTGACCGTTTCGATCTGGATGAGCATCGTACCAACGTCCGGTCATGTATACACTTCGTGATGCACGTTGAAGACCCCAGGCTAGCAGTTGTACTGTACTGGCTAAATTGCTTATCTACAGTGGGTAACAATGTCGCCATGTTCAGGCAGACTAACCTCCTGCTGTGTGAACAACCAACGACAAATTTTACCTTATGACTATGTTTGACTGCATTAGTGTAACTTCTCTCGTGCTGCGCGAGAAAGAAAAAAATGTTTCTTCGGGGGTTAAATTTTCGGTGAAGTAGAAAGCGAAAAAGAAAAGAGAATATTTCCCTCAAGTTGGGTTCGTATAGTAGAAGAGGAGGAAAAAGAAAATCAGTTGTTAGTCCCACGGTGGGTATGCTCTTTCCTTTATGTGTATGTTTATTCTAGTTCAGTTGGCCTTACCTGAAGTAGTTGCTTCAAATAAAGCATATTCCTATCTCTCTCTCTACCTGAAGTATGAACGAACTAGCTCAACTTAAGCCTGTTACCGTTGTTTGCTTGGCTTTGAATGAAAACACAATCGTGTTAAATCGTGTAAGAGTATTTAGAATATTTATCGATAACGCCGCTGAACTTGCATCGCTCGAAGAACTTCCTTTTTGTGAGCGCCTTCTCTGCTTGAGTTTGTTGGAAACACAGCCACTTCGATCCGAGGCAATCGATGATAGCGTTGGTGACACAACTAGGTACGCGACTCACAGAGCACTGGAAAACACCAATGTTTTCGTCGCTCCCGACGGTTCCCTTGAAGCCGCCAGAGGTGTAGAAGCGTAGAGCCGCGAAGACTTGTTGTTCGACCGTCAGCACACGGGACCCTTCACGACAACGCTGGAGCTTTCCGCGAAGCTGGTCGTATACAGCCAGCGAGTAATCCCTCGGTCATCCGTTATTCGCCCACAAACCTCGCCTCGCTCGTCTCGAAAGCATCCCGGTGATCTCTAAAAACTCGATCCGCTGGCGAACCCAACAGTTGAGATGCATATGTTAGGGTCGCCATCTTTTACGATGCAGATTGATCTCTGGCTTCGTATCGACCACTCAGTTAACTGCATCGTCAAAGTGCACCGTGACGACATTTTGACGTCACCGCCAACTGCATCATTTTACGAGCATAGCTCGAACTGCATAGGGAAAAACATTTGAACGTCATGTCACGTGACCGGAGAGAATAGCCGATGAGTGCCCGATGTAGTATTCTACATCATTTAGTTTGCGTTCCAGCATAGATAGACAGATCAGTGCGCTCCGCAATCGGAGGAGGTCATCTCAGCCTAGTGCACGTAGGGCTGCTGGCGCTGCTCCGGAACTTCGCTGTCTTGCTTGTTTGGTAAAATGAGTGGTAAAAGCGTCAATGCAACCGAAGTTTTCTGCACGTTTGGACTGGGAGATGGAATTACAGGCGGCTTCGCTGCTGCTGAAGCGCAATCAACTCAACATTTATTAAACAATGCGAGCGACGTGCTCCAAAAACGAAACAAGATGACGCGGAAGGGCGGAACCTTTCTCCCGTCTGCCTGGAGAAGGAGAAAAGTGTCTCGTTCCTCCCTTGTTGTCGGGTCCCCTTGGGGGCGCGTCCGTAGAAGGGAGGAAGACGCGCCTTTGCTACCTGTTCCTCCTTTTTGTTTTTGTAGAGTGTAGGCTGACGGGGACTGACCCGCTGTCGGTGAATATACCTTTGACTTAACCACTGTCGGTGGGTACACCTCCGACTTACCCGCTGTTGGGGAGGTGGGTAAGACGGAAGTGACCATCCGCCTTAAGACCGACTTAGCATAGAACAATACGAAATCTAGTTTCAACGAGGTTCAGCATTAAGTAGGCCCAGCCGTCAAGAAATTCTCGCATTGAACAAGCTCACTTGTGTTCTACTTTGAATGTGTCAATAATCACTTCCTGGAGCCGTCCGTTTGAACTGGTGGACCAGTTACTCGAAATGTATTTCTACAATTCCGGACATAATTGGTTCTGCGTTTGAGATGCGACGAGAATAAAGACTTGGCGGAGAAGAAAAGAAATATTACAAACCCGAAAAGTGCTTGAGCCATCGAAAGAAGCTTGAGCCGGACTCCATTGATCATGGAACAGAGCATCGTCGGAAAGTCCCCAAATAATCCTCTGCGATCCGCCATTTTCTGAATAAAACGAGAAAGAATTTAGATACGCGATGATAATCTAATCATCCGCGTTTGGCCACTGCTAGCTGTGCGTCTGCTGCAGGAATGATAACTTCGGTGAGCCCCCGAGTTTCCCACGAGCTTTAAGTCGTTCTAAAATTGACTGATATTGCCGCGGGCGCAGCTGACCAAGTAGGCCGCGCGCCCGTGGCCCAACGGTTATCGCGCTTGCCTCCTACGCAGAAGGCCAGGATTCGATTCCTTGTCGCGTTTACACATTTTTGATGATGCTGTAATGGGATGTTCTGGTAAATTCGAGAACCGTCTTGGGGGCTGATTCGAAGTTAGAATGTTCTACACACCGAACCTTCTACTGTTCCAAAAGCCCACGCTGGTACAAAAGTTGCTCCGCGTGGCAAGCCGGAGTCAGTTTTGTCCCCGCGTGGGCTTCTGGAACTTGCGGCGTAGAAAGGTCGGTGTGAAGAACATTCTACACACCGAACCTTCTTCGGTGTGTAGAACGTTCTAACCTCGAATCAGCAAGACGGTTCTCGAATTTACCGGAACATCCCATTGCAGGATCATCAAAAATGTATAGACGCGGCCAGGAATCGAACCCTGGCCTTCTGCGTAGAAGGAAAGCGCGATAACCGTAAGGCCACGGGCGCTTTTTTTCTTTATTGTTAGGCCACGGGCGCGCTGCCTACTTGGTCAGCTGCGCCCGCGGCATTCCTTCCGGGGCTGAGCACCTCACTTGGCCGGTATGTCTTCGGAGGGGTACGCTTAACGGGCAGAGAATGCACTATCCCGCACCTCCACCTAAATGTCACGAATGAACAGGCCAGTAAACAAAGAATAACTGGGGAAACTGAAACGTTTAATGGTGGCGAACTTGTGCCCAAAAATAAAAAGGAAACGAAAGCAGAGCAGAGCGCCGCGGGCGTCGAAGTCGGCAAAAGAGCAGAGTCAAACGCTGGGGCGAAAACTGACTCCGGCTTGCCACGCGGAGCAACTTTTGTACCCGCGTGGGCTTCTGGAACATGCGGCGTAGAAGGTTCGGTGTGTAGAACATTCTAACCTCGAATCAGCCCAAGACGGTTCTCGAATTTACCAGAACATTACACTACAGCATTATCAAAAATGTGTAGACGCGGCCAGGAATCGAACCCTGGCCTTCTGCGTAGAAGGCAAGCGCGATAACCGTTAGGCCAAAGGCGCGCTGGCCACTTGGTCAGCTGCGCCCGCGGCAATATAGTGGATTTTGATTGTGCTCAGCATGTTTCTAATTGAAATCATGTGATAATGTTTACAACTTAAAAAGTTAATTAGAGTCGTTTAGTTAATTATCCGACTTATCGCAAAGATTAGGCATCCAAATAATGTCCCTCTGGTCGTATAACTCGCCTGCACAAATCGTATTACTACACTTTTTACGAATGTTTTGTAATAAGTCTTTTCGAATTAATATGAAACACCCGGTGCACATGTATATATATATATATATATATATATATATATATATATATATATGTATATATATATATATATATATATATATATATATATATATATATATATATATATATATATATATATATATATATATATATATATATATATATATATATATATATATATATATATATATATATATATATATATATATATATATATATATATATATATATATATATATATATATATATATATATATATATATATATATATATATATATATATATATATATATATATATATATATATATATATATATATATATATATATATATACAGGGATGGGCAGTATTTCAAATTCCATTTCATTTCATTTATTTATCCTTAAGGGCCCGGGTGGGGCATTACATAAGGGGGGGAGTAGACGAGAACTAAAATACACTTTGACACTTGAAAACGACACAAATAGGAAAAGGAGAGAATCAAAATAACAATAGTAAAAAACACAAAGTACTGATATGGTTTAGTCGGGAATGGTTAGTGGTTGTGTAAAGAGACTTCCTGGCGAAACCTTATTGGGTCAGTGATGACTACAATGTCGTCGGGAAGGGAGTTCCAGATGGCTATTGCATGAGGGAAAAAGGAAGTGTTGAAGGCAAGCGTTTTGCCTGCAATACGCTTGATGCATTGACTGTGATTAAGGCGTGATGATACTCGGTCTGGAGGAGCAAGAGTGGTGGTATGCAAGTATTTCAAATACAAGTATTTGAAATACGTATTTCAAATACTTTGTGTATTTTGCATTTGTATTTAATTACAAATTGGGTAATGTATTTGACTTGTGTATTTAAATACTAAAACCTGGATATTTCAAATACAATTGTAATTAAATACAATTTTGTGGACGAAAATACATCTCTCAAATTTATTGTCACGACTCATTTTGCTCATCCTAAGACGTGTCCAGAGCAGGAAGAAAACTACGTTCTGCACCGAATGCATTGTCTCTCAGTCAAGCACAAGCGTTTAGTGACTTTGTGATTACGGTGCTAGTCCAGGGCAAGAATAGCGACCAAATTGACGTTCTCTGGCAGACTGGCTAAATAAGTGCCTGTGACAACTTGCGATGCTTTCCAGCCTGATTTCCATCCATATTTTTGCCTGGAACACTCTAAATGCGCGGGTCGTCCAGATTTTCGTAACTGGTGCGAGTTGCAACAATAAAAAATTCTCTGGCTAGTGCTGCGCGTCTTGGTCGTCTCAGTTCTTTGTTGGTCTATACCAAAATGTAGTCGACAAAAAGAGCTGCTTGAGGCTCTGTACTTTTTTCACCTATTACGTCCAAGCTGATTACATTTTTTTTTGTTATTATATTTCTATTACGTTACTAGAGCCTCGCACACTAACTCCCGGGTGTGCGATGCAAAATTAAAATGACATACCCAGAAACCCGTTGCAGGTGCCCTGAAGTCGCCGACGCAAATTTTTGAGGAATGTATTTGGAAAAGTATTTGGAGGAGACCAAATACATTTGGTTGTATTTGTATCTTGTACTTAAATGCTTTTTTGGAAATTTAATTAGATTTGTAGTAAAATACATTTTTGACGACGTATTTTGTATTTGTATTTCGATACATATTTGCATGTATCTTGCCCATCCCTGTATATATATATATATACATATACGTATATGTATCTGCATTTCATTTATTTCCGCATGTTTTATATTTTATTACGATGTGTCATATCAAAGGAAATTGTAGCACTTAAGTACAGAAATAAATAAATGGCGATAATGATAATGATGATGATGACGACGATTATTATGATAATGATGATGTTACTCCGTTTTACTTTAAGTCCTGGAGCAGCCGTCTCTGGTTACGACCCGATGGATCAAACCAAGCAGTGGCAAGAGTAACTCGTCACAGGGCTTATCATCTTGGCGGCTTTCCTATCACGGAGTAAACCAGTCACGAAGAGTGAATGCGCGGTAACTCTGCACTTTCGTCTGTGCGAGATTGCTTTAGCAGGTTATAGCAAACCAACGAAGAAAACAGGCACCCTTCACGGCATTTAAACTCAGCCGGACTTCAACTGAAACTCAGCAAAGTCAAAGAATTTGTATACCATATGATATGAATTAATAAAAAAAAAAAAAAAAACGCATATTCTCCGAAAATAAAAAGCAAAATACTAGTACTTTTTGTTTTCTACTACTTAGACCATTTTGTAATTGTTTTATTGGGTGGTGCACGTTGTACCTCGTTAGCTTAACTGGTTCACACTGCCCCATTTTCTTACGTTAAGTTACGTTACGAAATATTCCGTTGAAGTCACCGGGACCTCTGTGCTTTATATTAGACGAGGCTACAAGTTCAGGGAGAAAGAATGACACGCGACATTCGAGACACGAATGTTTTGCTCACTTATACGTAACGTAACTTAACGTAAGAAATTGGGGCAGTGTAAACCAGCCTTTACAGTGCCTTTTAACCTATTCAATAAGCAGTAAAAGAGAGCGTTCTCTCAGTCTAAATGCGCAGAAAAGTGTCACAGCTACTTACCTCTAATTCGCAAAATTTACCATCATAATCAGTTACTAAGAAGTGAGCTTCTTTCTGAGCCGTCATGCTTGTCTTGTTCGGATTACCGCTATGAAGTAGATATCAGCCGTCGGCGTACTAGCGTGTTTTTTTTATTCATTCCTACCGAAGAATAGCGCTAAGAGAGACCACCTGTTCCCCTCAATCGCCACATCCACCGACGCATCAGTTTTCAAAATCGCCATTAAAAAGTTTAGTTTTTTCCTTGCTGCCTACATCTGTTTGTTCCTTTGTTTCGTGTTTGTAGTTTTCGGAATTTCATCTATTTTTTGTCTACATTCCACTTCCTTCTGTAACGGCCTCTGGACTTTGTAGGAGATGCAGTAAGTAATTGAAACAATAGACTCCCTGCGCAACGACATGACATCTGGCATATGGTGCCGAGTGCCGTGCACGACGTGTGACATCTACCAACAATACTACCAACACACGCACTCTCAAAAATAAAGGGGTATATTTTTACACCCCTTGTCCCATATACGACACCCCGAAACATCAGTTCGACGTTTAGCGCACTGATGTCGAAGAGACGGCCCCAACTTTTACGAGGGGCTTGAGAACGGTGAGATATACCTCATTAAACTGCTAAAGTACGTATCAAAGACTACAGAGAAGAAAAAAAAACCACTAAGGTTTTACAAAAGGCCAAGAAAACCCAGATTACGTTTTTCCAGTCAGTAACACGTACACTATATATTTTAATAAGTTGTACCTCTCGGCTATCAAGCCGCTCGTTAAAGTTCGTACCATCGGTTCGAAGTCGGCGTGCTGTACGCACCGAACTGAAGTTTTGGGGTGTCGTATATCGGACAAGGGGTGTAACAATACACCCTTTTTTTTAAAGAGTGCGCACGTCATGTGTTTGCCAGAATATTAATACTAGCCAGTGTCCGAAAATACCTGATATCAACTGTATTATAAGTAGGAATGTCTGCAAAATATATTTAATAAACATTTTGATGATAATTACCAAAAGGACAAGCTTTCTTTCGGAGGCCGCTAGTTAATATTACCCGCTAAAGTACACAGAAAGTGCGCAACTAATGACTACGGGTGTGTACCACTGTGTCATCTTGCGGAAACCACTCGTCATGAGAAAATGTTCATTCTTTTCATATGCCTTTTTTCGAAGAAGATTGCTTGGCTCACTGTTTTGGTCGGTGCTGTTGCTTCGATGAGCCTTTTCTCGTCTAATTATCCCGAAAAGCAAACCCCATACTGCGAGCAAGTGTTCCATAATGCATCTTTGGAGCATCGAAATGAAAGAACCGGGGCACGCCTATCAAAGGGCAAGACAGAGAAGAAGGCGCGTGCCATGGCGGGACAGCCAAACACGTACCATCTTTGGCTTAAGTCGGGGGAAACAAAAGCACGTGGGCGCACTTTTGTGGGGTAAACAAACACACGAAGCGCGCAAGAAGAAGGCGAACTTGCAGGCCGTATTCGCGGCGAGAAGTCTGGGTATCGCCGTCTGGTGGACTTTTTGAGAAACATGAGAAACATGCGGTATGACGCATTTATATTTATGTTGGAACGACAAGATTTATAGAAAAGTTACCTTTTATCGAGCAGGTATTCGCACAATTCGCTACCTTTCTACAAGACCCCCATTGACGTCATACCGCGTGTTTCTCATGGCCGACGCTCGCGGCTGCAGGTCGAGGAATATTAAATTTTTTCCTCACAATTACGCGGCGGAATCGAAACATTTCGAAGGAAGGAGGTGTGTTTTTTGTCCTTTATGACAAGATGAACTATGTCAAAAGTAGAAGATTCCAATTCTTTCAACGTTAAAATCGTTGCACTGCTCCTTTGAGGAACCCAGTGCGTGTTGGATTCCCGAGTGTCTTATTATCGCTGGGCAGCCAATGTTGAAGGGTTTTATAGCTTTAAACCGCGTTCGACTTCCCTATAATATCTTTACTTGTCAAGCCTAACTCAAAACAAAAATTATGCTCTGCCAAAACTTGTTTCTAACACTCGCCGTACCCGCAGAGCTTCGCTTCGTGTATCTGCACGCGTCTCGTCTCCGCACATCTCCGAATGTCTTTTTAACCCTTTCTTCACCGCTCAACAACACCGGGAACACTTGCGCCTTCACTCGCGTCGCCACTGCCGCAGTCGCTTCGTAGTGGTTTCGCCGTGCCAAGTCCGTACTCCGTCCCAGGAGCGAGCGCGGAGGGAACGGCTGGCATCCGCGGCTAGCAACCGGCGTCGCGCCCACACTGACCGCCAACAGGAGGCCGTCTGTATCGAGCGTACACGGCGACGCGAGGATACCTAGGCACTCACGACAGCGCGAAGCAGAGGGGCTTCCACGGCGACGGGAGAATCCCGAGGTTCCCGAACGAGCTACGGCTATCGCTTTTTAATTTCCTGCCCATTGTGAGCAAAAATTGGCATCTTTTTTTGTGCGTAATTCGTTAAGCCGGTGATGGAAAACGCAAAAAGATGGCGAACACCATGACGATTCAGTTTTGGCACTGCATGATAGGCTCTATCGGATTGTATACCGTTGGCTGCGGTGCGGCTGCGGTAGGACTTAAAGTGAAGTTAAGTAAGGTCATCAAGCCTTCCCGTTTGTGTTTGCCTTTAAACGGACGTGTGAAAATAGGAAAACGTATCTTGGCTTCTTACCAGTAACCAAAACTTGGAGTCCGTGCGGAACAGCCTCGTCGCCTCCTTTTGCACTTTCCGAGACGTAGTAGTAGAACCGTAAGCACTGACGACCCGTGTGCCCTTTCAGTTGCGGGGAACTGAGCAAACCGTTCGACTCGGTGCCCACTGGAGCGATGAAAGTAGCGAAGCCACCTGTGGGAACGTCACAAAATATAGTCGAGGGAAACAAAAAGCAGTCTATGCAAATCCAGAGTACAGTAACCGCGATAGCTGCGACGCCTTACCCTGGTGTATTCTTATGAATCTTGCAATTAACGCGGAGAAACCTTCGACAATGTCTGCTCGGAGAGTAACACACTCGTTTAACTACAAAACTATCCGATTGTTGATTTCACGTGACAACTGGCGTAGTCACATGATATAATAAGGTCTCGCGACGCAGTGGTGTCGCGTGACATGATGGCGTCATATGATTCTGCGACGTGGCAGTGGCATTCTGCGACGTGGCGACGACGAACGCCCTACGTAATTTCGAGCCATAACATGTTATCATTGTAAAAATGGTAATGATCTATATTTCGCTTCCCCTGAAGTCAAGACGCAGCCGTCGCTACGAGGGGATTGGACCAATCAAACAGCGTCAAAAGCGCACCACCATCGCGTTCGTCACGTTTCTGTGCGTGTTCTACCATCGCTGGAGCAATCATAAACGGAAAAGGCTTAGTGTCTTGAGCTTTTGAGGCTGCTTGATTGGTCTTATTAGCTCGTGTCGTCGGCTGCGCCTGGACTTAAGCTGAAACGAAGCATATTTAGGCCCTGCCTTTTGGAGGCCCAGATTATTCAGATGAATATACGCCTCTTCTACAATGGCGCGGCCATCTTGAACGTTGCCACTTCCGGTATGCGTTAAAACATGGTTTGGTCTCTTCACGCTTCTTGAAGGTGTTCAGGAAAAATGCATGATTGTCACATTCTTGTTCTGCCTATCCTATATTTTTCCGAATACTCCAGATTGAAATGCTTCATAGTTTTTCGTCCCGCATAAAAGATACGGAACCCACGTGACTGAGAACGAAAGCAAACGAAAAACGTTTACACCTGCTGAGTTTTACCGACCCTCTATGTAGGGCACAAAAGATATATCGGATCCTAAGAGTCAGCATATGGATAAGCTTAATAATTTGAATCTGAAGATATTGTTTTATATACTCTCGATAGTATTGCCTACTTTGATTTAAAGGGGTAAGGAAACCAAATTTTCAAGCTAATTTCTTTGATTAAACACGACGTGTAGGAGAACCTGTGAAACGTCAATGTTTCATTGGAAAACACAAGGAAACCCATTCTAACTGAATTGAACGACAAGCGAAAACCACCTAGTGGATGTCTGCGAAGCTTCGATAAAATGCGGCCTCGGCCTCCCAACCGCAGCACCAATATACGGGAAGTACGCCCACTAGTACAAATCACCTAGGCCAGAAGGTAATACCGAAAGTTTGGGGAAGAATTTCAGAGCACAGTTGGCCATTTTTCAATTCACTCCGCTAACAAATCGCTTCCACTCATTCTTTAACGACACTGCCGTCAGGTCTTGATGAGCTACACTCTAAGAAAAAATGGAGGAAAAAAGTAGCAACGGCGCGTCTTCCTCCCTTCTACTGACGCGCCCCCAACCGGACACGAGAAAAGGGGAGGAACGAAACGTTTTCCTCCTTCTCCAGGCAGACGGGAGAAAGCTTTCGCCCTCCCGACTCATCTTCTTTCGGTTTCGTTTTTTCGAGCAGGTCGCGCACGTTGTTTAATAAATAGCTGTTGAGTTGATTGAGCTTCAGTGGCAGTGAAGGCCGCCTGTAATTCCGTCTTCTAGTCTAAATGTGCAGAACATTTCGGTTGCATTGACGCTTTTATTACTAATTTTATCAAACGAGCAAACGAAGCCGCTAGAAACAGCTAAGTTGCGGAGCACTGAGAGCAGTGCCACGTACACTGGGGGATGGCCGTCTCCAGATTGCGGGACGCGCGCGCGCGGCGAACCGACGGAACTACAGTCGCTACAATAGCGAAACCACGCGGAACTGTGTCGACGTTTTCGACGTTATGGAAACCGCAGGAACTGCGTCCAAGACAGGCAGGTTTTGTTGCCGGCTGCCTGGGTGCCTTCCGCGCTGAGTTCGGTTCTGTTTTCCGATGCCGAGTGCCAACCGGCGTTCAACGTGGTTCTGTATTTGTGCGTGTCAGCAACATAGCTGCAACATCGTGATGGCAGTGTTCTGGGTTGTGAACAGAAGACTGGAATTATCGCCGATGTGACCGTGTGTTCGCGTATCAGTGGTGTAACAACAAGATGAGATCGTAAACTGTCGGGCATTGATGCCGTTGGTCGGGCCGTGATGAGGGGGCGGGGTGTCGCAGGTTGACATTCCGCTTTACATTAAAAAGTTTAATACCACTTGAGGGATTACGTGCAATCGATCAACGTGCGGATAGTCATGTTGGAACGCTGGTCTGAACAGTAGAAGCTCCTAGCGCTATCTTACAATGGCCAATATGACTGTCGGAATTGTCTCGTCCCCGAGAGCGATTGCGCTCTGAAGCAAGGACTGAACAGTACGAAATCGTGACGGAAAGTACGTATATTTACAGTATGGAATTTCGGCATTAAAAAACAATAGAAGCTAAAATCGAAAAAAAAAGCTGCCCTTTATTTTGCTGTTTAAATATACTATGGTTCCTGGAGAAACTGCCTTCCAAGTGGCGCGCTGGGATGAGCGCTAGACGTTTTTGGGCTCGCCACGGCGTAGCTCCGTACACTGAACACCTGCCGCAAGTCGCGGCTTTGACTGCATTCAAGTTGATCGAAAAGCGATTTCTCAGCATGTGAAGCATCACTTCCAGCTGAGTGAATATCCGCTCTACAGAGATTAATTCAACACGGCAATTGCAGCTTTGCGCGAACAGCACAAATAGAAAAACCAATAGAAATACAGGCTACGACGTGCCGTGTGGGGAAACAAACTCATGGCTTCGAACCGCATTAGGGCGGCTTGATTTATTGGCTTTCAAATAATTACGGCTTGATCGAGCGTTTACTTTTAATAAGAGATTCATCCCTTGAGCCATTTAAAATACTTTCAGAGGTATGACATTGCTGGGAATATTTTTTATTGCTTAGGGGGTCACCAAAAAATTCCGTACGTTCAAAACGACCAGTATAAAAGACGGAAACGCAGAGCACGGGTGTAGTGTTCGGGTTAGTGTGGTGTTCCGTTGTATTGATATTTGTGTGTGTGCCGTGTATGTGCTCTATCTATGTTCACCTAATGCTTGTAACAAGTGTATTGTGTGTGTATAGTAGAGGATCCCCAAGCGCAGGAGTGCGGCTCTGAAGCGCAGTAGTAGCCTGAAAAGAATAAATTATTTTTTGTAGAACATGAATTGGGCGGTACCAAGCGCCACCTAGCCTAGCTGCTTGCAATTACTCTGCTTGACCCCGCCATCTGGTGGCTAGCGATTTAACCTTTCACTCTACGCGATAAACAGCGGCTTCGAGTTTGTTCTTTCGAGCAGTGTTGCCAACCGTAGGGTAATTACCCTACTTGTAGGGTATTTTAGGGATTTTGGTATGTTGTAGGGCTGTAGGGCCGTCAGGCCATTTTCCCGCCAAAAGTAGGGTATTTTCAGACGTTGCTTCTTCAACGGCAAACATTACAAAAAAAAAAAAAAGCTGCCGCGCAAGCTTTGCATAGCTTTACAACCCGTGTGCTGTCACACCACAACATCGTGCAAAACGAAAGAATCCAAGTTGCGAGACGTGCTAACTGAGAGCACCACACCAAGTTGGAGTATGTAGGCTCCCTAAGTTGGAAAGTAGTGGAGAGCTGAAGCAAGTGGGAGAGGTGGGAGGAGGTGGAGTTGCTCTTGGGAAGTTTGGAGCCAGAAGAGGTGTCTTCCCAGTATAAATAAAGTTGTGTCCTCCTCCTCCTCTCAGTGGAAATGATCCCGCCAATTTTTTTCTGATGACTGGTCCATGCGGCGGTCCTTGTTACACCTGCGAAACACCTGGCACCACGGGCGGAACCATAGCGATCCCACCAGGAAAACGTCATTCGATCAAGTGAGTGCATCCCGGGGACTGGAGGCGTTCACTTGAGCGAACGACGTTTTAGCGAACGAAGCCGAAACCATTACGCGTCATCGAATGAGACTTGGCGAATACGGAGGAGCCGCCGGCTTCCTATCCTCCCCTGGTGTAATAGCCTATAGTTGATCGCAATAGTACTTTAGTTTGACGATTCCCTAGGCGGTACACCCAAAGAAGCTAATATACCGTTCGGATTAGCTTCCTTTTGTAATGAGCCGCCTTGTCTGACGCCGCGAGTGCTGGTTCCGCGTAGCCCAGTTTTTAATTGCACGACAAATCGACTAAACATGTTGGTTGGGATGTCTGTGCGCTCGGTACATCACTGTTGTGCTGATGCTACACAGCGCACATGCAAGATGCAAGCATGGTGTTCCAGAATAACGCAGGCATGCGCGTGCATGCGTGCCCTGTCGCTTTGTACTGTATTAATATTACCCTGTATCATCATAATCCATGCAATAGTATTATTTGAACAAAGATTTGCCTCGTAGGGTAAAATGTAGGGTAACAAGAAACATTCGTAGGGTAATGTAGGGCTTTCTGGACGCTGCCGTGGGGTATTTTTGAAAAATAGGTTGGCAACACTGCTTTCGAGAGCGGCTTTTGGTTTCGCGGATTGAGTTTGCCCTTCTCTGTGATGTGCGGTTGACGAAGGAATTGTGACTCGAGGAACACCAAAGGTAAGACTCAAAGTGCGCGAAGTAACTGGGTATCGGTTGTCTCCGTTTAACATCGCAGTGCTGTCGACGAGAAGACTGAGTAACTGCTTTCAAAACGCCAGTTTCTGTACCTGTGGGGGGAATCTGGCTTCGGAAATAAACACAGTTTGCGGAAAGCTCGTGTGACGCTTTTATTTGCTGCTGCTCTCATCCCGTACAAGAGACGTAGCGTCCTGATTAAGCCTTATTGGGCTCGATTTGCTCGATTCGGGGCCGCCATATTGCGATGCAAGCGACGAAGGAACGTTGCTCCCCTGCTTCAGGGACGAACGTTTCTCCCTTTCTAAAGGAACATAGGTTACAAGACCGTTCCTCCCCTAAGGGAGGACTAT